CGTGAGCCGCGGCCTCCGCACGCGCCGTCCCGAGCCGCAGCGGCGCTCCTCGCTCTGCCCGCGCCTCCGAGCCGCAGCAGCGCTGCGTGCGTAAGTTGGGGTGAGAGCGACGTGGGGGGTGGGAGCCCCTAGTTCCGAGGGGTTGGTCTCTGGGGGGCCGGGCCGCGGGGCGGGCGCGGTGGGGAGCGGTCCAGGCTTCGCCGCTCGGAATGCGCCCGGCGCGGGGCTGCGGGTGCGTGTCTTAGGGGGCCGGGGTCTATGTTGTGCCGGCTCCAAGCGTGGGTGTGGGCGCGTCGCCGCGATCCCGCGCCCCGAGGGTGTCCGGGCACCAACTTTGAGCCTGAGTTCGTGTTTGTGCACCCAAGGGCCGGGGCGCAGCCTGCCTTGTGCCATCCGCGCGCGTTTGAGGGGTCCCCGCTCGTGTCCCCGTGTGCACGGTGTGTGGCTCGGGGGCCGCGGATACCCACGCGAGTGTGCGTGGCTGGGTCCCCTCCCCCGCCTTCCTTTCGTTTCGAGCCGTGCGCTTTCCTCCCAGCCGGGATCGGTCCTTCGCGGTGCCGGGGTTGGCCTTTGAGTGTGTCCGCAGCTGGCCGCTCTCCTCACGCCCCTTCGTGTCGCCCAGGGTCGCCGCCGTCCCGCACAGACCCCAAGTCACCGCCGCGGGCCATGGAGGTGGCGCCAGAGCAGCCGCGCTGGATGGCGCACCCTGCGGTGCTGAACGCGCAGCACCCCGACTCCCACCACCCGGGCCTGGCGCACAACTATATGGAGCCGGCGCAGCTGCTGCCCCCTGACGAGGTGGACGTCTTCTTCAACCACCTGGACTCGCAGGGCAACCCCTACTATGCCAACCCGGCGCACGCGCGGGCGCGCGTCTCCTACAGCCCCGCGCACGGTGAGCGCGGCCCCGGGCCGGTGGGAGGGAGGAGGCCGTCTGCTTCCCGGATGTGAGAGCCGCAGAGTCGGGCGGGAAAGGTGGGGGCAGCGGACCTGCAGTTGAGGGTCTCCTCTGGCCGCTGTTCTCAGCTCTGGACCACCTTCCAGATTAGGACCAGTCGGGATGGCATGTTTTAAGCTTTTTTTTGGTGAGGAGGGTGCTGCTGTTTTCCTGAATTGTGACCCATGTCCCCCTGCCCGCAGCCCGCCTGACCGGAGGGCAGATGTGCCGGCCACACTTGTTGCACAGCCCTGGCCTGCCCTGGCTGGACGGGGGCAAGGCGGCCCTCTCGGCCGCCGCTGCGCACCATCACAACCCCTGGACCGTGAGCCCCTTCTCCAAGACGCCACTGCACCCCTCCGCTGCTGGGGGCCCGGGCGGGCCGCTGTCCGTGTACCCGGGGGCTGCAGGCGGGAGTGGCGGAGGAAGCGCCAGCTCCGTGGCCTCCCTCACCCCCTCGGCGGCCCACTCTGGCTCTCACCTCTTCGGCTTCCCACCCACACCACCCAAAGAAGTGTCACCCGACCCCAGCACCACGGGGGCCGCCTCCCCGGCCTCGTCTTCTGCGGGGGGTAGTGCAGCCAGAGGAGAGGACAAGGACGGTGTCAAGTACCAGGTGTCGCTGACCGAGAGCATGAAGCTGGAAGGCGGCAGTCCCCTGCGCCCAGGCCTGGCCTCCATGGGCACTCAGCCTGCCACCCACCACCCCATCCCTACCTACCCCTCCTACGTGCCCGCTGCTGCCCACGACTACAGCAGCGGACTCTTCCACCCAGGGGGCTTCCTGGGTGGCCCGGCCTCCAGCTTCACCCCAAAACAGCGCAGCAAGACCCGTTCCTGCTCAGGTAAAGGTGGCAAGGGCACCTGGTGGTAGAGTGGGGGCTGTGTGTGCCTTTGTGGGAGCAGCGGTGATTTGGGAGAGGGGTTGATGTCAGCCCCTCTCAGGATGGGTGATGTTTGAGGCCCCTCAAACTTTCAAGAGTTGCTGGTGGCCCCAAAGTTCAGCTCCCCATTCCTTCTCTGTGGCCCCTGCACGGCCCAGGAATTGCCCCTTCTCCTCCCTGAAACTTAACACAAACACAGCAGCCTCATGACCTAGTGTGTGCGGGAATGCAGGCTGGAGGTGAGGGTGGCCTCGTGTGCCTGTACCTGTGCGGACGTGTCTGCAAGCGCGTGCTCGTGCTGCGGGTCCTGCAGAGCTCCTGAAGCCTGAAGGAATCTGGTTTTCCAGTGCAATCAGTCCATCTTAGAATTTCAGCGGCTCCTGATCTCCTTGGGAGATTTTCCCCAGAGCAAAATTCCCAGGACTTGTCTCTCTCTCCAGCCCCCAGCATGTCCTCTGCTGCCTCTCCCTGAGGGGCCGGGTGAGGGGATGAAAGCGGGTGCCCGCACCCCTGGGCCAGCAGCAGCTGGACCAAGCTGGGTTTGTCCAGGAATCTGGCCGCCGGGCAATCACCTATGGCCAGCATGGAGCGCCTGCTGTGGGTGCCTCCTGCCCGACTCCTTTGAGCCGGGGAGGGGGAAGGAAAGTTTTTAAAACTTTTTCTCCTGAGTCCAGCAATTACCTTCTCTTGCTGGGATGGATGGGCGATTTATTGAAACCAAACTGAGGAGCCTTCCTGTGTGACTTCCTGGGTGACAGGTCGATAAAAGGCACCTGGTCTCAGCCCCTGCGCTGCCCCAGCCTGGGTATGCCCTGGTCCAAAGACCAGCTAGCTCGCCGCCATTCTTGGCCCGTTCTCCCAAGTTCGTTTTGTGTTTATTTGAATTCCAGATGGCCTTTTAACAACAACGAAAACCTAAAATACAAGACCACTTACTTAGTCCAAAGCGAAAGAACTTATTTTACTTTAAAGAACAATTCTGACCGCATCCCGGACTGAATTGCAGGGTTTCAGGGGAAGGGGAGAAAGGAGCTCCTTTCTCATTCTGGATGGAGGGCAGGGAGACCTCGGCGGGGTGAAGGTGGAGAATGCGGAACAGACTGAGGGTGGTGACACTTGGGGAGACAGGAGAGGGGGGACACAGGAGGAGGAAGAGAAAGGGGATGTCCCAGTGCTGCCCAGGCGCTCTCTGAGAATCCCTGGGGCCCTCGATGCCCCTCCTTCCTCCTTGCCCAACCCCCCTTTTGGGATTGGGAACAGGAATTTGGCCTCCAACGGCTCCCCGTACACCCCTCCGTGGAGAGCTCCCCACTCCCTCTTCCAGCCCGGGCATGGGGCTCAGTCATCCTCGTCTCAAGCTGGGTCGGACCTTGTCTTCCCCGAGCCTCCGCCTTCCCTGGCTCCCTCTCCTTCCGTGAGCGACCTTGTCAGCCTCTCTGTCTGTCCGCAGAAGGCCGAGAGTGTGTCAACTGCGGGGCCACGGCCACCCCTCTCTGGCGGCGGGACGGCACCGGCCACTACCTGTGCAACGCCTGCGGACTCTACCACAAGATGAACGGGCAGAACCGGCCGCTCATCAAGCCCAAGCGGAGGCTGGTAGGACAGGGAGCCTCGGGCGGGTGGGCGCAAATGGCCGGGGGCAGGGCACACGCGGGGGTGGTTGAGGGGGGCACCACCTGAGCGGGAGCTGGAGTTAATTAAGGAGAAAAAAAACCGGCCAACCCCAAACAAGACAAAACATAACAAAATACACACACCCTGGAGCTTCACCACCTGAACTCCTCTTTTATCATTAAAATCTTTTGAGGGTCAGTTGGGGTCACCCTCCTTCCTGGCCAGATTCTTTCCTGCCAGACTTCCTGCTCCCAAGCCCACCAGGTACCCTGGTGCCGTCTTGCTCGAGGATCCCCAGAGTGCGTCCCGCGGGCCACCCTTCCTCCTCTGGCCAGCCTCACTCTTTTTTAAAAATAGGGCCCTGAAGCCCTTGCCCCTGGCCAGTCCGGGCAGCCCTCCTAGTCTCCCCAACGCGCAGTCTCCTCCTGCTTATTTAAATAAAACACACACCAGCCACCAAAAAAACCTGCCCTGTATTATTTTTCCATGGAGTCACCTATACTGTGTATTTTCATTTGAGTGATTTTTAAAAAAATGCCCTTTCGGATCTCCTGCTGGAGTTTCCTATCCGGACATCTGCAGCCTGAAGATAAGGCAACTTCGTGTATCTGTTTCCGGACTGCGCGGGTTTTCAGAGAGGCTCCTCGGCTCAGTCCTGCCTCTCGCTGGGCTGTTTTGAAATTTCTAATACCCTCCGCTCTGCAAATAATGCGTAAAATGCTAAGAATAATAAATATATTTTTTCAGGGCGAAGTGATTTATGAGGCTTAAATCGTTCACTGCTTTAGGGGCCCTTTTCTTTCTGGCCGGGAGCGAGGGCAGGGTGAGGGCCGGCGGGTAGGGTAGGGTAGGGGTAGGGTAGGGTAGGGTAGGGTAGGGGTGGAGGAGCGCTGTTGGCCCCTGAGTCAGAATTCCAGCTTCAGGCTGCTTACTCACTGTGTCCCTGCCCGCCCCCACGCTGCAGTCCTGTCCATCCCCTCTGTGACCACCCTGGGTCCCAGCCGACCCAGTCGCCGCTGGAGGTGGAGGGGGGCGACTCCAGCCCCGGCTGTCTGGGAAGTCTTGGGGAAACTCATGCTCTTTCTCTTTGTGCGGGGCTGGCGCTGGTGGGACCGCAGGAGGGGAAAGGTTCCATCACGCCTGGGTGCCTTCAGCTCCTTCGCCCCGGGGCCAGACCCTCCCTGCCAGACCCCACCTCGGCCTGGCATTTCCTGAGGTTAGAGCTCTGAGGTCTGGGGAGTGGGGCTGGAGGAGGGAAATGTCCCAGATCCGTGCGGGCCGGCCAGCGTGGTAGCCTCCGGTCACATGTGACCGTGGGTCACTAGGACAGTGGCCAGTGCAATCTCAGGGACTGACGTTTTAATTTCGGCAAATGTAGCACAGTTTAATTTCAGTAGACCCGTGTGGCGCGTGGCTGCCTCTCTACGCTCTACACCTGGCCCTGCCCCCCAGCATTCTGGGTGTTGAGAGGGCCGTTGAGGAGACCCAGTCAGCTCCAGCCCCGGGGCCTTGAGGGTGCAGCGTTAGCTCGGGGTGCCCACACCCCTGCAAGCCTCAGTTTCCTCACAGAGTTAGGTGGCTCAGCAGCTGGGTGAGGTGGCTGATTTCTCTTCCTAGCTTTTACAGCCCCCTTGCTTCTCAGATTAGATTTCTGAGAGTTCTTTCTTCTAAACTTGTGTGATGCTGGTTCTCAAATTCTAAATGCCACCGCTCTGAGGTGCCCGATTCCCCCGGGAGATTCCCATTAAGTGGTGGGCCGGAGGGAGGTCGCTGACGCGGTCCTTCCCCTCCCTCCCCTCCCCTCCCTTGCAGTCGGCAGCCAGGAGAGCGGGCACCTGCTGTGCAAATTGTCAGACGACAACCACCACCTTATGGCGCCGCAACGCCAACGGGGACCCTGTCTGCAACGCCTGTGGCCTCTACTACAAGCTGCACAATGTGAGCCCGCCCCTCCCCTCCCGGGGGACCTCTGGTCTTTGTGCTGCTGGGCACGAAGCCCCAGCCACAATATGCAGCTTGGCTTGGCTTGGGGAGCAGTGGCCGCCTGCCTATGAGGCAAGACTGGTGCCCCAGAAGGGCTTCCTGTAAGAGGGGGTGCTGCTGGCCAGTGGTCTTTGTGTCAAAGAAACTGGGGGCAGGAGAGGATTTGGGGTGTCCGCATGGAGGGCCAGGCTGGCAGGAGCAAAGAAGCTTCAAGCCACCCTTCCTAAAATGGTGGTGGTCCAGGCTTAGGGGGGCTTGGGTGAGTGGCGTTGGAGGCGGGGCTCACAGCACAGCTCCAGGCATCCAGAGCTCCCGGCTTGGCCTCCTTTGTCTCTTGGGGAAGCAGAGGGCCTGGAACCGGCCTCCTAAAGGCTCCGTGCTTGCCCCTAGGTTAACAGGCCCCTGACCATGAAGAAGGAAGGCATCCAGACCCGGAACAGGAAGATGTCCAACAAGTCCAAGAAGAGCAAGAAAGGGGCTGAGTGTTTCGAGGAGCTGTCCAAGTGCATGCAGGAGAAGTCGTCCCCCTTCAGCGCGGCCACCTTGGCTGGACACATGGCTCCTGTGGGCCACCTCCCGCCTTTCAGCCACTCGGGACACATCCTGCCCACGCCAACACCCATCCATCCCTCCTCCAGCCTCTCCTTTGGCCACCCCCACCCGTCCAGCATGGTGACTGCCATGGGCTAGGGACAGTGCCCTGCTGCACAGATAGATGTCCAGGAGGGGCGCGCTGTCAGGACGGGTGGGCCAGGCCCCGTGTAGCCACCCTTCCCTGGAGACTGACGCCACTCCTGCGCGCCTGGCCAGAGCCGACGCCTCCACGGCCCCACAGCAGCCGCGGCAGCCACCGCCTGCCGGCCTTTACTGTGAATACTCTCAGCCCGGCCCGAGGCTGCCCCCGTGCCCTGCCCGGGTGGGGTCCCTTCGTGGACAATCGTCTGCAGAGTGAACAGGGACAACTGCATGGCAGAACATGGAAGGGTCAGGGGAAAGACAAATACAACCATTTTTTGAAGGAAAAAGAAGTAGACAAAGATAATTTATTTTGCTCTTGTTTCTAACAGGGACTCGGACACTGGGAGGTCTGGGCTCTTCCCGGGCCCCCCACCGCAGGGCTGTGGGGGGGCAGGTCTGCGGAGACCTCCTCGTGCCCCAGCTTCCCGCTCTGAAATCACGCAGCTCCAGGTTGGGCCGCGCGGAGGCCGGGAGGCCGGCGGCTAGCTGGGGCCGGGAGCCCGTGCGGCCTGGTGGCAAGGCCCTGGAGGGCAGAGACAATCGCGGGCGGTCCTGCGCAGATTCCCAGGCCAGGGCTGGGTCACAGGAAGGAAACAACATTTTCTTGAAAGGGGAAACGTCTCCCAGGTCGCTCCCCGGGCTTTGAGGCTGAAGCCGGTGTGACTTGTGTGCCCTGCACGGGCCAGAGCCACAGCCTGAATTCTGTGCCGGGTGGGCCCCTGTAAATACAGCCTTTTTCTGCTCCCCCCTCGACCTCTTCCCTCCCACTCCGAGACAAACAAGAAAATACTCGAAACAAAACTGTATAAGCTTCACTTGTTGATGAGTTCGTTATTTTTATTTTTAAACTCTTTCCGGGTCCAGTCAATTGTACGTTGCCGCAGAAGCCCTACTATGGGAAAGAATAAATCCAATAAACCAAGGTTGGCGCTTTGCGATTCTCTTTGGAAGTATTCTTGGATCTCACAGCCCTAGCAGGGGTGGGATGGGGCTGGCTGCTCTTGGTTTCCAGGACCCAGCGGGCTGGTGGGTGGCAGCAGGATTGGGGTGTCAGTGCCGGGACGGAGGGGGCGTCCTGCTGGGGTCCCAGGATTCTGTTCTGCTGTGGTTGTCTGGATCCTTCCAAGGTACAGCTGTACATAAATGTGTCCCAAGTTAGATTCTGTATGCAGTGGTGGTGGGGTGCAGTGGCCAGCGAGGGGTCCCCCAGCCCTGAAGACGATTGTGCTGATTTAGTTGACCAAGTGCAATAGGGGCCTGCCGATCGCTGCGAGGAGCACCACAGCCGGAAGTAACTTATTTTATACTAGTATCAGCATAAGAAAAAGAATCAGCAGTATTTTCTGTTTTGATGTTTTATTTGGCTTGTTTTATTTTTGATTAGTGAACTAAGTTATTGTTAATTATGTACAACATTTATATATTGTCTGTAAAAATTGTATGCTATCCTCCTATTCCTTTAAAGTGAATACTGTTAAGAATAATAAAATACTTTTTGTGAATGTTCTGGCCTGTCTTGTGGTTCCCCGGGGCACCGTGTTGCAGATGTGGGTCTGAGTTAGGCAGCCTGCCCTTGGTGGGGGAACTGAGAGCAAAGGCTCCTGGATCTGGGTTCCCTTCTGACACCCTGATGCCCTTTCCCCGAATTGCTTCTGTTTGAGTTTCCTCTGACACCAAACCTGGCTTCCTGTGGCTGGCTGGTGTTTCTGAGAGCTCGAGGAATTTCTTGCAGAATCCAAGGACCACCCGAGTCCTTGCCCTTGTTCACTTCCTCGCGGGTGACGTGCTCTGGTTTTGGGTCACCACAACTCTCGTTCAATGACAAATGTGATCAACATCTTCGATCACTGATGTCATTGATTGCTGCCATCTTTGATCATTGATGTTGGTGTGACAGCCATGTCTGATCCTGATCGATGACATACCTGACCGTCAGAGCCTGCCACCAGACAGCGCATGGCTAACAACCAGTCACCAGCAGGCGGTCGCCAATATTTCACCGACACCTCTGATGGGTGATGGACCTGGCACTGGTATCTACAGAACATGGTCGCAGTGTCTCTCTTCTCACCAGTGGGTCTGATCGCCAGTGTGTTGATCACCAATGCTCCTTGTCACGAGCATCCTGGGCCAATAGCACAAGCACCAGTGTCACTGATCAGTGTTTCCTTTCTTCTTTTCTTTTTTAAAATTTTTTTTTATTTGAGATGGAGATCTCACTGCATTGTCCAGCCTGGCCTCAAACTCCCGGATTGAAGTGATCATGCTGACTCAGCCTTCCAAGCAGCCGGGAGGGACTGTAGGTGTGTGCCTCTAGCCCAGACGATTGGTGTTTCTGTGGTTTTATTTCGTGGCATTGGGGATTGAACCCGGGGCCTTCACATTGAGCTACATCCCCAGGCTTTTTAATATCTTTTAAAAATACTGAGAGAAGTCTTGCTAAGTTGCTAAATTTCCCAGGGGTCGGGGGAGGGCTTGAACCTGTGATCCTCTGCCTCGGATTGTTGTTTTTTTCTAAGGATCTGATCATTCACATTCGGTCTCCAGCATCTCCAGTCACACTGTTCCTCATCACCAGTGTCTCTTGAACAATGTCCTCAGCAGGGGCTGGGGATTTAGCTCAGCGGCACAGTGCCTGCCTGGCTAGCGCGAGGTCATGAGTTCGATTCCTGGTACCAGAAACAAAAAAATAAAAAGTCCTCAGCCACTTGTCTCTGACACCAGTATCTCTAACCAATAATGTCCCTGCTCACAGAACCCTCCCATCACCAAACTGTCTACCCAGGTGGTCACCAGTGAATCCGAGTCACCAGTATCCATGGTTGCTCACCTCTAGTCACCAGCATCCTGATGCCCAATACCAGAGAGTGCTGAATCTCCACAGTCTCTGGTGCCTAAATGTCCCTGCTCCCCAGAGTCCCTCATACCCCGGCCACCTATCCCTGGCCGTCAGTATCACCATTACAACGATCACTGTTCTATAATCAGCAATGCCTCTGATCCCCAGTGGGGGACCTAGGGCTCTCTGAAGCAAGATCTCTGGACACCACGTCCTCAGCAGTTAAATCTGATCACCAAGGTCTCCTTTATTTTTAGTCATCCAGGACTTGCACACCAAATGCTGTCACCACTAACGCTCCTGGCGCTGGCATCCTTGATGGATGATTAATGCCATATCCAATCCATGGTGGCTCTGATCAGCAGGACCTCTGGGCGTTGCCCCCCGAAGGTCGGGATGTGACCTCAGCTCTCTGATGGTATTTTGTGAATGATCTCATCCCTCAGTGACTCTCCCATTCCTGAGTACAAGTTGCCAGTCCCTAATCATCATCACCTCGGGTCACCAGTGTCTAATCCCTGCTGACTGGGATTTCTGATTGTTCCTTAACAGCTCTGAGGCCCACCTGGTCTGGGAGGTTTTTACTCTTCCTGGTGCTGGCAAGCCTCCCCGCCCCCTGCCCAGCAGAGGAGGCCAAGGTCCAGATGTGGCACCATTGCCCTCTTCAGACTCCTCCCTGTGGAACGGACGCCTGGATCCACAGCAGCCAACTGGTGCCTAGCTGGGTGGGCCCTGGGCTTTCTCTGGAGCACGGCAGCCCCAGGCCCCATGGGGTCCCCCATGGCTCACCGTGCACCCCCACGACTCCAGAGCATTCTGCCTCGGCTCTTCCAGCTATAACCACAGTGGGGTGGGGACAGTCCCTGCGCTGTCTCCTGGCTCAGGACTGCAGGACTGTGTATGTCTGGTCACATATTCAGATGTGCGTCGAACAATTCCTGCAAGCCATGCAACCTTCCAGGTTTTGGGGCCACATCTGTGAATAAAACAAGCAAGAACTGAACACAATAATGATGCTATGCTACCTGGCCTCTAGCGTGCCTGCCGCCCATAGTCCGGAACCCAAAGCCAGAGCCAGGAGTCCAGTGCGTACGGACTAGAACCTGCAGCCTAGAACCCACATCCCAGAAACTGCGAAATGACCCCAAATACAGAGCACAGAGCCTGGACCCTTAAACCCAGAATCCAGAGCTTGGAACTCAGAACCTAGAGCTTAACCAAGAACTCTGAGATGTGGCCCAGAGCCTCAGAATGCAGATCCTAGTAGTACACAGAGCCCAGAACTTTGGCCTGGAATGTGGGATCCCAAATTTACAACCTAAAGCCCAGAACCCATAGCTCAGCGCAGAGGACGTGGAGCCCAGGATCTAGAACCTGGGTCCCAGAGCCTAGAACCCCACATCCAACATCTAGAATGTGGCTGAGGATATACAGGCCAAAATCCAGAGCTCCCAACTCAGAATGACCCCCCACCCCTCCAAGGGGCCACCTTGTTCTTCCGAGCCCCTGGCTTATTCCAGTTCTCCTGGCAGCCAGCTGTAGGGAGCGCCCAGTGCTGGGCGTGGCCATGTCAGCCAGCAGGAAGTAAGCGCACAAGCAGCAGCTTCCCTCTCCGGCCACAGCCACTCCAGAGCACAGGGGCTGTGTGTGGTCCTCTGTCCCCTTCCCCACCTGCCCGCGCAGGTGGGTGCTTCCTGCAGGTCTGCTGAACTGATTTGTTTGTTTATTCCACACATCTACTGGCCTCACTTGTTCCAGACATTTAGGTGATGAACGACACATACAAGAAGACCCTCGCGCCGGTGACAAGTTCTTGGCAAGGAGGCCAGAGTTGAGGGAGGCTGGGGCATTTAGTTGGGAGGGCGAGGCCCCTAGGTTGGCGTCTCAGCAAGTCACTTGGGAACCACAGAACCCAGGCTAAGGGGACTGCAGCTGCAGCTTCTGTCCCCCCTCCGCACTCTGATTGCCGGGAGCCCTTGCTCCACATAAACAGTTTAGGTTCTGTGGACACAAAGCCCCAGGCAGGGCTGGACATGCAGCCTGGTGCTGCCAGTGGCCGCTTTGGGCAGGCAAGGGCCGCCTTCACGGTTCCCCAGGCCCTGGCGCCAGGGCGGCCGGGGTGGGGTCAGCCTTTGTTCCATCTGTTTGCACCCAGGTGGGGCTGCCGGCCCTTCCTCCCCTCTGGGAGCTGCAAGTTCCCATTTTCCACAGGGAGAAAGCGAATCACTCCTGGAATTCTCAGGGACCGGCTCAGTCCTGCGCTCGCCCCTCCTACCTCCTGGTGCCCCACCCTGAGAACAGAGAAAGATCAGACTCTGGATAGGTCCCCAGGGCCACAGACAGGGCCCCTGCCCTGGGGACTATGTGGGGAGGAATGCGGGCCATCCATCCGCCTGACCCCTGACCAGGGACAAACTTACCTGAGGCAGGACAGAGCACAAACAAGGTGGCGCAGTCCCCAGGGTGGGCGGGCCCTCAATCAGTTTGTGATACAGATAATTCCACTCCAACGCCACAGGCTGTTTTTTATTGCTTTTTTTTTTTTTTTTTTCTTTCGTAAAGGCAAAATGATAAAATGCTTCCAAACTTTATCTGGAGAAAAAGAACAAGGCCAGCACAAGAAATCAGAAAATTAGGGAAAATAAAGTGACAAGTGTGTATGGGTATGTGAAACACTTTCCAATATAAAACAAGATTCTATTATCACAGCCCTTCAAACCTGGTGCTTGGCTGTTAGGATAAACAGATCAATGGAGAGCACGAAACAGATCCTATTATTTACAAGATAATGAATGAAGCTGGGATCTTGGATCAATGAGCAGGTGGGAGCTGTTCCACCAAGGGGGTCTTGAGACTCCCCCCACTCTGAGGTCCTACAGACAAGTTTTCTGGGGTTCTATGATGTTTTCTAAAATGTGAACCAGTGGCAAATGTTTCAAATTAGGAGATTCAGCTAGGCATGGTGGTGCATACCTAGAATTCCAGCACTCAGGAGGCTGAGGCAAGAGGATCGCCTAGGCTACAAGGTGAGACTCTGTCTCAAAAAAAAAAAAAAAGAACAAGAGAGAAATTCACATTAAAATATGTGGAAGATCTTTCTGTGCGTCTCCTCTCAAGTAGAAGACATCAGGTCCCCAGCAATCTCCCCCTCCCATTGCTACCACGCCCCTCCTTCCTGCTTTGGCGGTGCATTTGAGTCCTGACAGTGCCACACGTCCTACTCCAGGCCTGAGATTTATTAAAAACTTAATCTTTTCACTGTTTTTGCAGTGCTTGGGGTGGAACCCACGGTCTGGAACATGTAGGCAAAGTCTCAACCGCTGTGCTGCAGTCCCAGCCCTAACCGCTCACCAAAGCCAGGTTGGATCTGGAGCCCAACCTTTGCGACCCACCCGGCTGGCTCGACCAGTCTGATTCCCCCACGGACAAACTGTCAGAGGGATGCTGGGAATGCAGTGGTCATGTCCAGCCTTTCTAGGAACCAAAGAGGGTAACAGCAACGTTGTTGAGCAAAACGGCGGGCGAGGTTTGGCTTTGAGAAGGGTGGCCGGATCAATCGGGGTGGCGCTTTAGAAATCGGCTCTGAGAAAACGATTCGGGTCCGAGACTTGAACGTTGTGTGGTAGTTTAAACACTGTTTGCCAGCAGCTCTGGTCCCAGAGATTTCCAGGACGGCATTATGGATAGGATGGAGAGATGGCACGCATCCTACATGCTCAGCCAAAGAAGGGGTGGGTAAATGCCCAAAGAACCGGAAGCAGTGACGTAGACAGGTACCAGACACTGTGTTCACAGCAGTGTCATTCAGGATAGCCAGGTGGCCAAGGATATAGCTCAGTGGCATAAGCGCCTGCCTGGTAAGCACAAGGTCCTGAGTTCGATTCCCAGTACCAAAAAAAAAAAAGGATAGCCAGGTGTCCAGAGAGGATAAATGGATGAGCCAGATGGGGCCCTTCCACACCTCGGGGCCTCATTCAGGCTTACACAGGAAGGAATTCTGATACGAGCTGCCTGTGGGTGAAACTTGAGGTGCTATGCTAAGAAAACAAGCCACAGGACAGATGCTTTAGGGTCCACTGATTCCACTTCCCAGGGCAGTGAAATTCACCACAGGGACAGAAGGTGGCATGAGGGGGTGGTCTAGGACCAGGGCAGGGATGGAGACAGCATTTCAAGGGGGCAGTTTCGGTTTGGGAAGACGGAGGAGGATGAGGCTGAGGATTGCATAACGCTGTGAAAGTGCCGAGTGCCGCCGGCCGCAGTCCCTGCGATCTCCGAGTGGAAGTTTTCACCCAGTACTCACCAACAATGATACTGTGTGGGACGCGGTTTTCTCCTCCCTCCCCCCACTTTCTAAATACTCTGTAATGTGGTTTAATACCCTTAACAGTGAAATTAATATTCTAAAGTAATTATGACAGAATGGGAGTCAGTTTTCTAAAACTATGCAAAGATTCAGAATAAGAAATGTGCTACAGAATAAAAAGACCCTCGCCTTCAAAAGAAAAACCACACACAGTGGGATAAAGAGCTCACCTAGGGCACAGTGGCAGTGAGCAGCCAGCAAGCATCCCAACAGGAGGTGTCCAACTCCAGGAGGGACCAAGCCACACATGGGGACTTGGGTTCTACCTCTGGCCTCAGCAATCTCAGGAGAGGCTAGGCAGGCCCTGCACCTCTCCATCTTGGGTGGAGGTGATCAAGACTCCCAGGCTCTCTGGCCCAGAAACTCCAAGATGTGAGAAGTGGGCTGTAGAACAATATATGAAGCATGACTGTGTTTTTATTTTAAAATGTTAGTCTAAAGCTGGGTGAGGTGGCTCATGCCTATAATCCCAGCAGTTAGGAGGCTGAGGCAGGGAGATTGCTGTGAATTCCAGGCCAGCCTGGGTTATACAGTGAGTTCAAGGTCAGCCTGAACTACACAAGGAGATCCTGTCTCAAAAAAAATGTCTATACTTCATTAAATGTACAATGTTTATGGTTTTGTGTCAGCTTATATTTTTAATTAAAAAAATAAAAATATATTTGTTTTGACCTGGAGCTGTGGCTCAGCAGTAGAGTGATTGCCTAGTCTGCAGAAGCTCTGGGTTCCAGTCCCAGTACTGCAAAAAAAAAAAAAAAAAAAAAAAAAAAAAAAAAAAAAAAAAAAACAACAAAAAACAAACAAACAAACAAACAAACCAAACCAAAACAGAAAAAAGGAGGAAACCATCCAGGAAGATATGTGGCAGTTAATAATAATAATTAGTTCTTCAAAGTATGATATAAACTGGGGATTTTTTTTGTGGTACTAGGGATTGAACTCAGGTTCTTCCAACTGAGCTTTAGGCCCTTTTTTTGATATGAGATCTCTCTAAATTGCACAGGTTAGGCTAGAATTTGAGATCTTTCTGCCTCAGCTTCCCAGACTGCTGGGGTTATAGGCATGTACCACCACACTGGGCTTCCGCTGGTAAGTTATTGGATAGTAGAGAATCATGAACCAAAAAACACCTGCCTTCCCCCTCAGGACCTTCTTTTTTTTTTTTTGGTTTTTCTCCGGGACCGGGAACCGAACTCACGACCTTGCACTTGCCAGGCAAGCGCTTTTGCCGCTGAGCTAAATCCCCAGCCCCACCCCCTCAGGACCTTCTTGAAAGCCAGACCACACCTTACTGGGCTATTGGGCGCTAATACAACCGCTGTCCATCTCTCCTGCTGGGGTGCAGCCCAGCCTAGCTGCCCGCCCTCTGAGTTCCACAGTGCCCCTCGTCCTATGACACTGCGGTGCATCACGAGCTCTGCAGCTTGGTCCACACCCGCGCATTCTGTCGTCTCTGAGGCCCTGCCGCCAGCGCAGGGTGCGGCCAAGGCCATGGCGGCTGAGCAGGGCCGGTGGGGCACAGGCACGCCCCGCCCTGTGCGTGTTCTGTGGGCACAGCGGAGTCACCGTCCCCACAACCTTCCCGGGCAGGAGGAAGGGGGCAGCTTGATGTCCTCTGGTCCCTTCCCATCCCCCCACAGCTCAGGTGTCATACGGCCCTCCCGGCTCTCTCGTCCCCCGTCCCCGTGGCGGCAGCAGCCAGGTCTTCCTGCCCAGGTGCAGGTTATCGCACTCCCAATGCCCCGGAGATCCCTGAGCCCTGGGACCCATTCTTCTGCACATTTTTCCATTCTCAGTAAATACAGCTGTCCCTCTGGTGGCAGGGGACAGGTCCCAAGACCCCAGAGGAGGCCTGAAACCACGCAGAGTGTCGAGCCCTCCATATGCTGGCTTTTCCTTACACATATCTATGCTGAAGTTCAGGTTAAAACTTACAGCTGCTTTTGTAGGTAAATGGATGCAACTAGAGAGCATACTCATAAGTGAAATAAATTGGACCCACATGTGTAAACATCATCTTGTCTCCCTGGTGTGGGAACCTGAAAGAGTAAGTAAAACTCAAAACGTACAATAGATGATAGGAAAGGGAAAGAAATTGCTCAAAGGAAGGAACAACTGGGATGAGGGAAAGAAGAAAAAGGAAAGAAGGAAGGAAAAAATATATATATATATGAATAGCTGGGATAACTGTACTGCTAATGTCTGATGGTATATTTTTGTTTTTTTTGTTTTTCTCCGGTACCGGGAACCGAACTCATGACCTTGCGCTTGCCAGGCAAGCGCTTTGCCGCTGAACTAAATCCCCAGCCCCTCTGATGGTATATTGAAAGGGACAGTTAATGCTTAAGTTTTTATATTCTGACCAATTTTGCATGCTTATATCTGGCAATCTGAGCAACTGATCTGAAGACAACAATATGCAATGGAACAACCACTGGTGAATTCCTACCATCTTGTCTAGTGAAACTCTGTATTATCTCTAATGTTTTATCTAATAATTATTTTTTTATACTCTTTCATGGTTTCAACAATCTTCCATTCTTACATCTGGTAATCTGAGCAACATAGTTGAAGATAACAATATATAATACAACAACCACTGTTAATTCCAATCATTTTGTTTTGAAACCCTGTATCATTTTTAATGTTCTTGCTTTGCTTTGTTTATGTTTGTGATGTTGGTATGCTGCTATTGTTCTTTTTTTTTCTTTTACTACTCTCTTTAAAATAAAACAAACATACAAACAAACACACAAAAAAACCTTATAAACCCCAGCCAAAAAAAAAAACCAAAAGACATTAGGCCCAGGGCCAGGTATGGTGGTATACACTTGTGATCCCAGCATTCTAGGAGGCTGAGGCAGGAGGACAGCGAGTCGGAGCTCAGTTTGAATGACATAGAGACTTAGTGAGAACCTGTCTCAAAGTAAAAAATAAAAAATGGCTGGGGATGTAGCTCCGTGTGAATGCCCATGGTTCAACCCTCAGTCTTGCAAAAATACAAAAATCTCAGTAGAAGATTAACAACAATAATAAAACAGGGGCTGGGGATTTAGCTCAGTGGCACAGTGCTTGCCTGTCAAGCACAAGGTCGAGAGTTTGATTCCCGGTACTGGAAAAAAACAAAACAACAACAACAAAAAACAATAATAAAACAGGGTAATGACACCAGTTGGCTGTTAATAAAGCATCACAACTCTTGCTCTCTGAGCCTCTTATTGAGTGA